AACCGACCCATCCAAACTCCCCTCTCTACCGTCATACTGAACGATATCCGTAGATATCGACACGGGAATTAGAAACGACCGAATACTACTCAGTCTAATTACTCCCCCCCCAACCCATTGTTATAGGTAAAATCGTCGATTACGCCTAATCACGATCAACCCGTAACACTAGAACACTACGTATCAAATGTAACTAACCCGATTTTGGCAGAAATTACACAAATAAAAGCCATATGATTGCTTGATTAATAAAAATTTTCTCACATGATAAAAATTATATTTTTACAAGCGTTGAAATGGCACCTTCCAAGCAAGAAACCCAACGACAAACCATATTACATTTCTGGAGGCAAGGAATAACTGAAGCCGCCGAAATATACAAATTGACAAAGATTCCACATAAAACTATCTATAGAAACCTAAAAAAAAAATAAAAGAAACTGGCGACGTTAAGCATAAAGGGGAAAATGGACGTATCAAAAAAGTAACGCTGGCAGCATCTCGTGCTCTTGGGCAGTATGTTCGAAGGCAACCATCAATTTCCGCGGGGGATCTTGCTTCTAAATTAGAAGATATTGGAATAAATGTCTCCCGGTCAACAGTTTCGAGACATTTGGCCGACCATGGATACCGGAATTCTCTTCCTATCAGTACACCAATGCTCACATCTGCTCATAAAGAAAAATGTGTCGAATAGGCACAAAAACATAAAGATGATGACTGGAAAAAACACTTTTTAGCGACGAAACATCTTTTCAACTATTCCGCAACACAATTAGACACTGGTACAAGGGAACAAGACTGGTTCGTCGTATGCCAAAGGACCGAACTAAAATTTTTGCGTGGGAGGGATTTTGTGCAAAAGGAAAAACAAGTTTTTTCTGTTTTAAATGTATAATGGATGGAAAATTTTATGCAGAAGTCTTAGAAAAACATCTCCCGGAGGTTAATAGAATGTTAAAAGGACGATGGCGACTACAACAAGATAATGACCCGAAGCACACCAGCCGTATTGCCAAAGAATTTCTTAATAATAATGTTCAGGAAGTTATGGATTGGCCTTCTAATAGTCCGGACCTGAATCCTATCGAAAATCTTTGGGCAATCGTTAAGAGGAACGTGGAGTTACGTCAACCAAAAAATATTACCGAATTAGAAAGTTTTTTTGGGTGAAGAATGGGAAAAAATTCCAAATAGCATTCTAATTAATCTTGTAAATTCAATGCCATAACGTTGTAAAGAGATTATTGAAAAAAATGGTGAACGAATATAAAATCTGCCGATTTTCGGCTTTCAAATACATTTTTAATTGATTTGTTAATCATCGAGATAATGTGATTTTTAAAATTGTCAATTTTTTTTGCATACCACTGTATAAAGGCCCTCAAAAACATCAATAAAAAGACAGAATTAAATAGCGTACAATTCTTTTCCAAGTAAATTAGACTTGTAAAATTGTTGTAACGGTAATGAATCGTGGTTAGATCTTTTGATCCAAAAAGGCATTTATATCGTTAAAACGGCATATTGATTGATTGTAAAGCGCTTTGTGTAAAATAGTTTAACGTTAAGGCTATTAGCTAGAAAAAGCAAATCATTGTTAATAAACATTGTTAATTGAATATCCCCGCCAATTAAAAATAAAGAAAACCCAATTCCCCTTACCCAAGTAATTTCATTCGAGTCTCTCTCTCTCCCTCCCTTTCTCTCGTTATTAGCCTAACGATATCCGTAGATATCGGCACAGGAATTAGATATCAACAAATATCACTCAGTCTAATCACTCTCTCCCAACCCATTGTTGTAAAATCGTTGATTACGCCTAATTACGATCCACCCACAACAATAATCTATTAGTATTATTTATATGTAATGTGGTTAATATACGCCCCCTCGGATTACGTATTTATTTTGCTGACTACCTTTGTTTTTTGTTGATTAACGGAAATTCAGAGTAAATATTATATCTAAATTTGATTTTTAGGAATAGGAATCAATTCTAAAATCGATTTTAGAATCGATTCCTATCCTAGAGAAGCAATAAAAAATAGAGTATTTACTCTGAACAAAAGAAAAATTTGAGATTTATAAATGATCTGATAGTGCTGCAAACAACGATAATTGTAAAATAATAATCTCTTTCTTTAGTCTCAACCATAACCAAAATTTGTAGCTAGGCAAACTACACCTGATTTATAACTCAAACTAATCAAATGAGTATCAGTATGTCTCCCATATTTGCGACATGGAAGCGCATCGTTCTTTTATTTTTAGTCTTGAAAATTAATAATTTGAACGATTACTAACAGATATGGGTGACAAGAAAGAAATAAAATGTATCGGTATTACGGTACAGTGCTTCCAATGTAACTGGTGCATATTCGTAATACCACAACATAAACAAACAATTATGGTAAAGGCACCGATAAAAATGAAAAAGAAGCTTTTCGATGGTTTCGAGAATCTGCGAAGAATGGTCATACTCGTGCCCAAAACGAACTTGGATTTCGCTATGAAATTGGATCAGGACAAGGAACAAAGAAAGACGAAACAAAAGCTTTTTGTTGGCATCAACACAATGGAATCTTGCCTTATGCTATCGAGAAGGCAAAGGTATCTATAAAGATGAAAAAAAAGCTTTTCAATGGTTTCGAGAATCCGCGAATAATGGACATACCCGCGCCCAAAGTCATCTTAGAAGCTATGAACATGCTGTAACTGTAGACGAAGCTAAATCTATGGCAAATACTTTTATGTTGGTATCTGAAAGAGTTCAACATTTTTGATAGTATATTAGTAAAAAAAAAAACACGCTAAGAATCACCGAATAAAGAGTATTTCTCAAGTAATATAGATTATTATAACTTAGCACGTTCGAAAGAATCCAAACTATTAAATAAAACGGATTATCTATTCAAATCAAAGCAGGTAAGCTAAATATTGTTACCATTTTCAACAAAAATTCCGTAATTTCTTAATTTTTAAAATTATCGTACGTAATATATTACGCATGATGAATTATAATTTAATCCAATGATAACGATAATCATATTTATTTTCACTTTTATTTTCTCTTGTATTTTTCATTCAAAAATTGATAATTTTGCTATTTGTACATCTTATCTTTTATCCCCAACAAAGACATTCTTAATTCTTATTTTTATCTCTCATTTTCATTTTCATGTGTTATTAATTTTTTTCTTTATATCTTTTAATGTGATTTTGAATTTTCTTGTTTCTTACCACTAATATTCTTATAAATTTTCTCTTGTATTTTCATTTCTACTATCATGTGTAATGTTTCATTTATTTTTTGGTCTTTATTTTCCTTTAGTAATTGTTTAGTATCATCCATAAATAGTGATATGATTTAGAATAATTATTAGTCATCTAAACTGAAGGAACTATTAAAAATGTATAAAGAAGAATCTCTTGTCACTAGAAACTCTCATGTTCTGATCTAATAAAAATAACAAAGTTCTTGGAATATTTTACTTGTGGATATGCTATTATTTTTGTCATCTTTAAATCTTGATTACAAGTAATGGATGCTCCTCCACTCTAAATAAGCTGATGACTTTATTTTTTTAGTTATTTTATTATTTTAGGCTGTGTCAATAAGTCCTATTTATTTTATTTAGTATATCAATATACATAGTTAATTTGTTTTATTTTCTTTATTGGCAATCTCAATAAGTCCAATTATCATTCATTTTGTTAGGCAGTCTCAATAAGTATTATCATTCATTTGTTAGGCAGTCTCAATAAGTCCTGTTATTCTCTTTGATAATTATACTAGTTTTATTTTGTACTTTCATTTAATTCTTCCACTTGCCTCTATTTTAACCTTTGGTAGTAAGCTAATTTGTGTACAGGCTACCACAGGAAACCTTTAGAACTTTGTGAATTCCATTAATTGTAAATCATTCAGTCTTTGTTCTTTCGCTCTTGTTCCTTTGTTAATTCATTAGTTCCAACAACTCTCTTGAATTGGCGAGAACAATATTTTTGATGTCATTAATATTCATACAAACTAATCCATCAATCTTAATAATAAATTAGCAGAAAAATATGCTGAGAGCCCAAGATATAAAGAATCCGAACCATTAAAAACGTGGATTTATCTGTCAGAATGGAATTGATAATAATAGCATTAAGCAATGTATTCATCCTGGTATCGATTATGACGAATTTTCAATGCCAAAATTAAATTCAAGTTTTAAAAATTAAAAAAGCGTCACAAATCAATGATATCAATATGCTATTCGTGGGATTAGAATTTGATAGAAATTTATCGAAAGAGATGAAAAAACGAGAAGTTACGGATTATTCGACCTTCGTAATTATTCCAAGATAAACGCTATACGTAGATAGTGTGGAAAAAGCACAAATTGAATATGATATTAAAAATGTAAAACCGACTGCTAACGCTAAGTTAAGCCAAGCTATTGACGAAGCGTTAGCATCTAATATGCCAATAAAAAATCTTTAATCTTATTTTTGAAAAATATGGTCATTTAATTAGTAACAAATACTTTTCGGAGATAAAGTATCTCGGAGTATATTTTCTTTGCATTTTTCCAGATTTATCCTTATTTACATGTAAAACTCATATATGAATGAGATGAATAATGATCCTATTGAAATGAGGTTAGTATAATATCTCTTTATATTTGAGAATTATCCAAGAATTTATTCCCCTCTATTATTCTAGTCAAATAAAAAATCTTTAGATTAGCGCGCGTTATCGGACGTGTTGTTACTCCATTATATAAAATTCTCGATATTAAACAGCAACAAAAAATTGAAAACCTCTATAAAAAAGAAGATCGCGTTTTAATGTATAATAAAACTCTGCTTTTAAATTACTCTACTGGTTATCAAAGAATTGAATTTGAGAAGCCATTAAAGAGTAACAATTACCAAATATCTTGACTTCTGATGGGGAAAAGTTGCCAGAAGTTGCAGATTTTAATTTGAAATTAAATTTGGATTTTCAGCAAGCTGGAATGAAGAAATTTCTATCAATAACTAAACATTTATTATCTATATTTTTATATTCATGCTTCATCAAACAGTTTTTGATTCTGGGCCACAATTTATCATGTTTAAAAGACCAGTTAAACTTCAAATGGATGCTAATCGTGAAATAGGATATTTCGATTCGAAAACTCGTGATTTATCGGTCAAAACTGGTTTTACAGTCTTACAACTTGAGAAACATTCTTGGCTTACAAAAATCAATATTGGAGCACCGCCTTCGAAACACAAAATTATTTCGATTAATATTGAGTATCCTTCGTCTACTGGAATCTTCTTCAAACCCGATTACAAGATATATGGCAAATTTCTCGAGGTACTAGTAACAATAGAAGGGGATACGGGTATAGAATTTATGAAAAGAATGATCAGGTTGTTGTTTGTATTAGGTGGTGTGTTTAGAAGAAAATAAGCTTTAAGGAAAACCATTCGTCATATGTTAAGCCAACATTTATAAGAAGATTTCCGTTAATTAGTAGCCCTTCTCTATTTATAATACTGAATTTCGAGCCGTCTCCTATCACTATTACAGTAGTTTGCATTTTTCCGTTAGACTTGCTCAAGATCTCCTTCCATTGTATACAGTTTCTTGTTTTTACGAACCTGTTCCTTTATTTAACATAAAAATTTATCGCTTTTTAAACTTCGTTATATGCTTAATTTCATTGCTATTTTGCATAATCAGCATACATGTATAACGATAATCCAGCACATCTTAACTAATCTTTTTCCTTTTTGCTTTTTTTTGCACTTTGATTATTTTCAAAATATAACCTATTATTTTATTGAAATTAAACTCTCCGGATCTCTGGACAGTAAGAAAAAAAGCGAGTTAAAAGAAATATGATCCCAATTCATATTTCAAATGTGGCTTAGAGGAGTGACAGATATTAGCTAATATTCTTGGGGTGGGAGGGAGGATGGCCAAATCTCAGGTATAAATATAATCTCACGTGCATGTTTTAAATGAAATTTCAGGAGAGGGGAAGGGTTCCCTATAACAAAATGGATATTTATCACTCCCCTTATTGATTAGAGGATGATCCGGGATCCGGCCATCCATTGTCAATCGATTATTATAATCAGTCAGTCAAATCCGGGTTAGATCGATTACGGATTGAACGCTTCGGACCATGTACAGTCGTCACAAAAAGTAACGCACCCGATTTATAAATTTATGACATATATAAAAATTTGCAACATAAACTTTACAATCAAGAAAATTTTTATCTTCTACCTGTAAAGCCAACCATTAAAAATACAACTAATATAAAATATAAACTTTTAAATAACATGAAAATTTGGATTTTTTATAAATTTTTTGTTAAACTTTACCGCTACTTTTTGTGGCGACTGTACATGTATGTATACGAATTATTGTCGATCTTTTATCTACCACAAATCCAAAAAAAATGCTCTTTACTCTGAATTATTCCCTTCCTATAACTCTAAAAATTCAAAACCCACTGCTTTTAAACTTTTAGAATTTTTGTTTACATAAAAACGATGAAAATTTTGCGAACGTATAGTGATATTCCAGTTGAAATATTTTTGCGTTAAAAAATGAGCCACAGTAAATTGAAAATAGTTTCTGATTAATCAGCTAATTTTCGATATTCTTAAACTAAGAAATTTCCAATTAAGTATATTATGATTTCATTTCTTTATTTTTCATTTTTCTTAGTACTTTGATAGTATTTCATTTCAGTTGAAATACTTTATTTCCGTTAAAAAATTAATTTTGCAGATCTATTTCCAAAAGTAGGGGATGGCTAAAGATAAAAACAGCCAATAAGAATGCATAAATTTTTGATCACCCGGCAAAACAAACCGAAACAAAAAAATGAAAATGCGAGAAATGTGAAAAATACAAGAAACAAATGTCTAAATCTGGTCCGAAGTACTAATAAAAAATGTCGAGAAGACAATTTTATATATAACCTGGAGCACCATCCCTAACCGTAACCCTAACCCTAATCTTAAAACCATTATTTAACCTTAATCTTTTTTACAGTAGAAACTATGCAATGCTATTGGTTATTTTTGTTATTACCAAATCGGGTGGGGTGTACACAAGCCTGGTGGACAGGTGATACGTGTTAAAGGTTGATTTTAACGTTAGGGTTAGAGTGGAGGGCTAGAGTATATGTAAAATACCTCCCCGACGTTTTTAATTAGTGCTCCAAGCATATTTACGTTCGTGCTTCGGATTTGTTTTACTGTGGGTTGATCAAAAATTACGCATTCTTATTTGTTTCTCGAACAGATCTCTGGACCCATCAGGCTTTAGCCAACCCCAAACGATCAGGATATCGGTGGCCTGCAAAAATAACGCACCACTTTTTTAATCACACAATTCTCAATCACAAAAGATCCGACAAGCACAAATGATAAAATAAGCAATAACGATAACTAACATAACTATATATGTAAATAAAAATAAAATGAATAGACATTATTATCCAATCATCTGTAACGGTAATCCGCATAACAATAATAATAAACGCTGGTGCATTTTTTGGCTGTTTTTTGAACAGAACATTTTTTTCATTTAAAGATAATAATAATCAAATAGAAAATTATACAAAAATATTATTTTACCATCTCATATAACCTCCCTGAGCTTCAATTACATCATTAATTCTTTTTGTTCTTTTTGGCATCATATTGATTAAATCAATACAATAATCAATCTCAATATTATCCCACACCTGTTCTATTTTTTCCCACAGCTTATTCTTATTTGAAATAATATCTGAATGCCAAAACATCACCATATCATTATACTACCATTATCAAACTTCATTGTAGGTTGAACATGCGAGTTTTTTAATGGATCATTTGGTCCTTTTCAGTAATATTAATATTTATTAAATCATATTACTCTGTACCAATTATCAAGTTTCTAGTTCTTATATTTGTTTGCGAAGTCAAGTCATTTTTGATGATTTATATCTGATAAATATAGTTTTTTTTTTCACTTTACTTGTACTATCAACCCATTATTATATAATATTCTATATATGATATTTATATTTATATTTTTTTCATGAATTAATAATGATTTTTTAAGTTAGCGTTAGTCTGCGTTAGAATATTTATTAGTTGTAATTTGATGAACAAGTATTTATTATCGTATATTAACGTTAACGTTAATATATACGTAGTAAGTTTTTAAGGATGATCATATTGAGATCTATTTTTGATACTTTTGGTTTTTTTTAAGTCTTAGTATGATTAGATGGTGAATATTAAAGCAACAAGCAATTTCACGAGCACTATAACCAATGTAAAGCAATGCAATTGCTTGAGCACATTTCACTTATAGAAGCTTAAAAAATATATAGGTCTTAAACTTTGTCTTTATTTTATTTTGTACATTAGCTTTTTTTACTCATTAAAAAATGACAAAAAAATGCACTTGGTTTAAGTGGATTAAGAAGAATTATAGAAAATTTGGTATAATAAAATACCTGTTTGTGTACGTTAACTTAAAAAGCACTATTAGAAGTTGCTTGTGTATTATTTGTCAGATCAGATGTTATCAAGAATCATGTAATTAATGATTAGTAATGCAAGTGATGTGTTATTTTTGCAGGCCATTGTATATGTTAATTTAGAACCTTATTTAATTAAATCCAATACTAATACTAATGCTAACGCTAAATTTAATACATAAATGAATAATTATACATGTATTTTATACATTGTCAAAAAAAATATGATTGTTGTTATATTACAGGATCAAATACAGTGTATCAATATCGATATTTGAATTAACTGTACGTATTAATGATAATTTAAATTTGGTAAATATAATAAAATATAATGAGCAAATAAAAATTTTCTGATGGTATTGATTTTCTAGTGTTTTATACTATCACTATATAAAAACAACGTCCATATAAGAGCAATATGTAAACAAATAAGAGAATAAATTTATATTATAAAATTATCAGGGTGGAGGGAGGGTCTCAAAAATTCTATCTTCCACGTGATTTACATGTGACCAAAATAATTAGCCAATTAAATACAATAAAAACCTCACCTGGGGAGGGAAGCTCTATAGTAACTCATTATTACATAATATGTCTGTTCCAAAATTAAGATTTATATTAAAATTATCTCTTTATAAGAACAATCACTTAAGAACTGGCTTTTGCTGGCCAATCATGTTCTTATAAAGAGATATGACTATATATTATTCAAAATAGCAAGCAATTAATATTAAATCAAAATTCGAAGAAATTTGTTTAAAACACGTGAACAAGTCGAAAAACTCATAGATTTGAAATTTTTAACACCAGCAAATGGCTATGAGATTAAATATTTTTTTTATATGTTTATAATAATAACTATCAAAATTTTTCATGGAAATTACTATTTGAAAACAGATACAATCAATCCTGTCTAAAGTTACACCATCTAAAATCATCTTATATAAACTTTTAAAATCACCTTATGTTTAATACCAATTTATCGAGTTTATAAAAAAATTCTCTGTTTAAAGTCACAGTCACTTTTAAAAACTTACTATTGTTCAACGGAGTGACTTCAGAAAAGGTTGACTGTATATACAAACATGATATTATTATTATTATTATTTTATTGATGCTAAAGTGTAGCCGCGTTCTAAATCTAAGACTAATTTAACTTACAAAGTAAGATTTACAAATTATAAATTAAGATGAAGAACCACCAGAAAATCGAAAAAATCACAATGTG